TTTACCACTAGTTGTGAGTCACTGAAAACAAGAAGCTGTTCTGCACTGAAGTGTTCGGCACTACGCAAGCCAGCCAATAATGCTTCGTACTCGGCCTCGTTGTTTGAAGCCTTCCAGCCTAGCCTGAGTGCCTGTTCCCAGATAAACCCTTCTGGAGAAATAAGAATTACTCCTGCCCCCGAGCCTCGGTTATTGGACGAACCATCGACGTAGAGTTGCCAGATGTTTCCAATAAAGAGTTTCCATGCTTCCGAAGCGCTGGGTTTTCCTTGTTCGGTGGCGCATGGCACCTGTGCCGAACTCGCGGTTCGGTACTCTGGGTGGGAGTAAATTCTGCAACAAAATCCGCTAAGACCTGGGCCTTGATTGCTGTTCTAGGTTGATACCGAATGTCAAACTCACCAAGTTCTACAGGCCGCTTTGCTGTTCGGGCAGAGAAATCAGCTCGGCTGAATACAGATCTGAAGGGGAATTCAGTGAGGACGTTAATGGTATGCCCCTGGAAGTAATGTTGCAACTTTCTTGAGGCGATAAGCAGCGCGTAAGCTAACTTTTCCAGTGGTAGATACCGTGTCTCGGCATCTAGTAAAGTCTTGCTAACATAATATACTGGTTTCTGTTCCTTGTCAACTTCTCGAATTAATACTGCGCTCACAGCGTGATCTGAGACTGCTAGATAGAGGTACAACTCCTCTCCCGGTTCTGGTGTGGATAGTAGAGGGGGTGTACTGAGGTATCTCTTGAGACTCTGCAGTGCTTCGGTACATTCGCCATTCCATTCAAATGCTGCCTTTTTCCTCAAGAGCTGGAAGAAGGGCTTCATCCGATCTGAGGATTTGCTGATAAACCGATTCAGTGCGGCCGCCATTCTGGCTAGTTTCTGCAGTTCCTTAGACTTTGTTGGCACTTCGAGATCCTGTATTGCCCTGATTTGATCCGAATTCGCTTCAATTCCTCTGTGAGTGACCATGTATCCCAAGAACTTCCCTGTTCCTACCTCGAAGGCACATTTCGAGGCATTGAGGCGAAGCTGGTGGTTTTTCAGGATGCCAAAAACTTCTCCTAAGTCGGTAAGGTGGTTTGCAGCGAACTTACTTTTTACTACCATATCATCTATATAGGCTTCCATGGTTTTCCCCAGTTGGTCTTTGAACATCCGAGTGATCATTCGCTGGTAGGTTGCCCCGGCGTTCTCGAGGCCGAACGACATTACTCTATAGCAGTAAATCCCCCTCGGGGTGATAAACGCTGTCTTTTCTTGATCCGGACCGAACAGTGATATTTGATGGTAACCGCTATAAGCGTCCAGAAAGCTCATGCGCTCATGTCCTGCTGTTGAGTCTACTAGCTGATCAATGTGAGGCAGCGGAAAACTATTTTTAGGGCAGGCTTTGTTCAAGCAAGTGAAATCGACACAAACTCTCCATTTTCCGTTCTTCTTCTTGACTATAACTGTGTTAGACAGCCACTGCGGGTACTGAACTTCTCTGATTGCTCCTAAGGCCAGGAGTTTTTCGACTTCGGCAATTACTGCTTCGGTGTGCTCAACTGAGGATCTTCGACTTTTCTGTACGATGGGTCGAGCTGAAGGATTGATGTTGAACTTGTGGCAAGAAAATTCTGGGTCCAACCCTAGAGTATCATATGCTGACCACGCAAATACCTCAATATTTTCCCTCAGCAATTCCAGCAACTGAAGTTTCTCATTAGCGCCTAGCGAGGTACCGATAAGGAAGTACTTTTCCGGGTCGTCCTCTCTCACCAAGACTTTCTCCAAATCCTCGACCATCTTTTCCTTTGGAGTTCCCCCCACATCTTCCAAGACTGGTTGTCCGGCCACTTCTACCGTCTGTATCCGATTGCAGAGCTGCTTTGCCTTTAATGCTGCCATGAAGTAATGTTTGGACGCAACTTGATCCCCAGAGATTTTCTTTACTCCGTGTTCCATTGGGAAATGGATGAGCTGGTGATAGGTTGAAGGGACTGCTTCCATTCGGTGAATCCACAGGCGGCCAAGTATGGCGTTATAAGGGGAAGGTGTGTTAATAACCAAGAATTCTATCTGGTGGGTTTTTGTCTCCGCTACGACTGGCAATACTATTCTGCCGAGCGGCCATTCCTGCTGCTGTGAATTGAAACCGACCAGCGGGGCTGCCGCTGGGGTGAGATGCTGCTCGGAGAGGCTGAGCTTTCTGAACAAATCATAATACAGTACGTCTGCTGCACTGCCCTGATCTACTAGGACTCGTTTCACATCAAATCGTTTCCCAATCCCAACAGTTATAATCAATGCATTAGTATGTGGGTGTTGTATGCCTTCTAAATCTTTGCTAGTAAATGAAACAGTGCACATGGGGGATTTAGGCACGGTACGCACCTTTTTCGATGTCGGCTCCACTGACATAATTTGCTGAATTTGTGCAGCCTTAGCGATCTCCTCCTTTAGTGCCTCCTCAGATTTCTGAGCCGCTGTCCCATGGATCACATTTATTATCATCCGGGGTGGATGCTCAATATTCGCTTCTGGAGGTGGGTTCCCTAGCTCGGCCACTTCCTTACCCTGATCAATATATTCCCTTACGTGCCCAGCTGCCACCAGGTCCTCCAAATGTTGCTTCAGTGCCCTACAGTTTTGAGTCATGTCCCCTATCTTGGTGGTAGGTGCACCTGAGCTTCTGATTGCGCCGAGCTGGATCTCCCAACATTTTCGGCGGCCAAACAAAGAAGGGTTCTCTCTTGATCTTTTCCCGGATTCAATAGATTGGCTCTTTGAACACAGTCACAACGGCTTCGTGGGATCTGGACTTATCTACCTCATTCACTGCAATCCCTCGGTGTTCTCCTCGATCCGTTTTCTTCTTCTGTCGGGCTGCTTGTTCTGCTGACACTACCTCAATGGAGATCTGATCGTCTTCGAGACGAGCATACTGCTCAATCCAGGCGCGCAAGTCTTTCAAAGTTGTGGCCGGGCGCGTGGTAAGTGATTGTCTCAGCTAACTTTCCGGGAGCAGACCATGTTTGATGGACATGACGGCCATTTGCTCGCTGCACACATTTTCTTCCAGATCGTTATACTCTTCCCAGTATCTTCTAGCGTAACTGCGCAGCGTTTCCTCTTGGTCATTCCTGAGGCCGAATAGTGTATCCGGCTCTTTTGGGATCTTAGTATTGGAGACGAACTTGGCCAGGAACTCTTCGGAGAGCTGCTTCCAACCATGAATTGATCCAGCAGGGAGTCGATCGAACCATCGGAGTCCGGTTTCTCCCAAGCTGAATGGAAAGACTTTGCACATCAGTGCCTCATCTCTGCTCTAGAGGGACATCATCTGTTTAAAATGGCTAATATGTGTCAGAGGGTCCGACTTCCCATCGTAGGAAGTGAACTTTGGTGGAGTGAACTTCTTTGGAGGTCTCATGGTCTCAATCTCTGGAGAGAATGTCGAAGAGACGAGTCTGTCCAGCGCTCGATGCTCTCTCTGGTGAACGGTACGGTCCAGATGATCCCGATGTTGCTCGTTCTGCCTATTGCCAATCAGCAAGTGCGAAGGTCCTGAGGAGGGTATTCAGTTTGTTGACTACCCGTCTTCTGCCTCTTGGCCCTCCTCCGGCGTGACCCACGGGTGTGGCTACTTGCCGCTTCGCTTTGTGTTGGGATTGGTTGGCTTCGTTGCCCGGAGTCATTCCTGGGGAATTTCTTCACTGGCAATTCTCTAGACGAGCTCCTTCGTTGCAAACGAGAGGGCTCTGCTTCCGTCTTCTTTTCCGTTGGATCACCTAACACCTTCTTAAGTTGGGCTTTCAATTCCTGTATCTCCATTCCCATGGAATCTATAATTCGATCTCTATAATCCTTTTCTAGAGGAAATGATGAGAAGAACCTCCGGCGAAAGGCAATCGATGCTCGACAGATTCGGGGGTTCGATTGTTTTTTCCAGTTTGCTCCTGCAGAACTGTCGGGAGTGCCAAACCTTTGTCCTTCGTCTTCTCCGTCTGAGGAGTATGTGATGAAGGCGGAACGTCCTCAATCCCCATTGCCGGAACTGAATGCAGAGCTTAGAGGCGAAAATGATCCACGTTCACCGTACCAATTGTGCGTACTGGATTCCGCACTAGATGAAAGTGGATCGAGGCTCCGCGCTCAGTTGGACTATCTAGGGACTGGGGTTCCTGCCACGAGAAGCACCGTTAGAGCTGCCCGGCCGGGGTTGGCCGGATAACCCCTCCGGTGTGGGAATTAGCGATCGGAGAAGGAGTGTATATAGGGTTTTTTCTGTATGTTAGTGTGGTTCAGATTTTTAATAGTTCCCCCCTCTTCAATGTGAAGTTCATGTTGTATATATAGTGTTCTTTACTTGCTTCTCAAGGTGAGTTCATGGAGTGTAAAGGCTGCCAGGTGTCCTTTTTGCATTGCTCCAGGTAGGGGACCACTTGGTAGTTGCCATTGATTGCATATTCTCATTGTAGGCATGTTGATAACAAACCACATTCCTTTGGCTCAACGACTTCCGTGATTCTAGGTATGGGGGACCAGCTGAGGTGGCAACCTGCACATGCTTGCGCTCACAGCTCCTACGTTTCCTTGTGAGGTTTCTCCAGCTCGGTACCAATGTACTTCAGTTCGGTACTGGTGTGCCTCACCTCGGCCTTTTTCAGGATCATTCATGGAGAGGGGTTGGACCATTATCTGTTTGGCCCATAAATTCCATTCCGCGGCTCGGCCCAGACCAGCACTACGGCTGGGCTAGCCTTTCCGCTACGGGCTGGGCCCAAGTGCTGGAGGACTTGGGCGGACTGTTGATCATGAAGTTGGGCTCAACTGGTCTGTCCACATACTCATCTGACCCCCTTGGATTTGGGCTTTGTCAGATTGGGCCGGCCCAAGGCTTGGACCTGCCCCATTTTGCATTTAGCCCCTTCAACCACCATTCATGGACTCAATCATGTGATGGTGTGACTGAGTCAAACCGTTATAAAAATATTGCACAAATCTCCATGTCTCAAAACCATGGTGGGGACACCTTAAAATAATGTCTTTAAATCTTTCCCAACTCTCATAAAATTTCTCATGTTCTTCCCGATAAAATCAGAAATTTCTCTTCTTAATGCATTAGTTTTGGACATTGAAAAAAATTTAGAAACAAATTTCGTGACAGGAAGCTCCTGTGTAAGGATCTTCCTTCTCTAACCCATAAAAAGTAGGAAGGAGTTGGATTATGTGTGGTTTTAGCTCGATTGCATTCGTTGCTGGCAGCACTATGCAAGGAGGATTCATGGTTATGGGTGAAAATAAATCCCTAAGAGCTTTGGGCTCTTTAGTATTTTCAGTAATTTCTCCCATGTCTGACAATTTATTGTGTGACTATTTGTTTTCTTAACCTTCTTTTAAATGTTCTTTCGATTTCAGGATCAAAAGGCACTAGTTCTAAATTTTGCGAACAATTAAGCACACACCAAACACTTGATTAAAAAAATTATTATTATTTTTTTTGTTATTTATTTATTTTTTAAATTTTAAATTTTAAATTTTTTTACGTTTTTTTAATTTATATTTAATTTTATTATTATTATTATTATTTTAAATCCTATATTCTCAAGGTTAAAAATGAAATTAAATCAAATAAATAAATAAATAAAAATAATAATACTAATAAATGTCCGTCAATCCTTCAAGAATTCTTAAAAATAGAAATATCCTAAACTTACGGCAACGTTGGGTTTGAATATAAACAATATGTGAATTAATTTATTATTATTATGCTTCTTGTACCCTAGACTTATTTGTTATTGAAAAATACTTGGGAGCACTAATTGGTGCTCCCACTAATTAGGTGGCAGTGGGTCCCGTTATTAATGATGTGATGTTTTGGTCTTGGAGTTGTGTTTTTTTTTTTTTTTTTTACTTTTTTAATGCATTAGTGCTATTAGTGGTGATGTTTTTAGTGGGATAAATCATTGTTGTTTATTATTTCAATAGACAAGGCTTAAGCGGCGGAGTGGGTGCTGCGGCAAGTTGGTCTCAACTGCTTCTTCGTTTCTTTTCTTTTCTTTTTGTAAAAAAAAAAAAAAATTAATTAATTAATTACTTATTTATATAAAGCTCCTAACTATAACTAGTAGAAAGGTAAAATTAATTCAAATTCAAATTTTTATTTTTTATTTTTTAATACAAGTCCTCGACGTCAGCGCCAAAAACTTGTTGTATAGAAGTATAGTGTTACGAATGCGAGATCGAACACACAGGAACTTGTGATTTATGGAAAAACTAATTAATCTGAATTTAATTTAACCCTAACCTAGTTAACAAATTTATGATTTGATCAAAATTAATTCTAAATATTTACCGAATAAATAATTAAATCCAAAATAAATTGATAGGAAAAAGTGAAAGTAATCAAAATAATGAGGCTAAGGTTTCAGAATCCACGCTCATTAATTTATATCAACATATATTCATGATCATTAATTTTTACCCAATTACTCACGATAATCTTAGAAATCAATCTTGTTATCACAAAAGATAAACAATTCAAGTATTGTAAAGAAATTTTAAATCATTCAATGTATCTGTTCTGTTTAAAAACAAATCACATTAAATATCCAATTTTAATTCTAAAAATATAAACCAAGCATTCAATTGATTAAGACAATCCTAAATCATGAGAAAAACATGATTGAACTCATATTCAGAATCTGTACCTTTATCAACTGATTTGAAGAAAGAACAATTTAATCATTAAATATCATATAGAAAAATCAAATCTCATGAACTCACGTGATACTCATTAACGAGGTTTCATCCTCAGCAGATAAAAATTTAGCTACTCATGCATCTAGAAAACATATTGATGAAAAAAACCTGGAAAAGAGCATACAAATAACTTGAATAATTCTTCTGCCTCCACAAGCCGTCTTCTAAAAAATATCAGATCTCCCCCTCTCAAAATATGAGTGTTTACATCTATTTATAACTAGCGGGGTACACACGACGTGTGTGCAATTTAAATAAGTAAGAATAAAAAATAATAATAATGAAATTAATAATATAATGTGTACTTAGCTTAAGTGGTATGAGTCCTCGTACTTAAACCCATGGTCATAAGAGTTTGTGTTCACTTTATAATAGTATAGATAGATAGATAGATAAAAGGAAACCCTAAATAAAAGAGGTAAATTCGAATGGGACTCTCTCAGCTTTTTGGGCTTGCATTATGAGCCCGTTTTGACCTAGTAAACGTTGGAATTAGACAATTTGTATTTCACACATAGTTGTAACCGTTTTAAGGCCAAGTTTGGGTACTTTTCAAAAAGTCAAAAAGTCAAAAAGTTACTCAAAAAGTTAAAAAGTTAACACTATTCATCAAAAGTCAACAATTACGGCTGCACAACTCCCAATTCAAATTTTTCCCTACAAATCAATTTTTACAATTTTTTATTACACATTTTTCAATAAAAAGTCAAAAAATTAACCCAAACATTCATATTTTTAACCTCAATTTTTTAGTCCAAAAAGACAAAAAATACACTTTTTTAATCTTCCCAAACTTAGCCTAAGTCTTCTTTCTAACGCAGCTTGAATCACTTCAATTTGGATGAGAAGAGAGATAAGTCCAAATTACCGAACGCTGTGCAAAGTGGCTGCTATTGCGGAATTGCATTAAATTTAGCACAAGACTCGAGCTTCCTGAAAATACATAAAATAATATAAAATTATTAAATAACCTTGCATTATAGACTATAATGTATAGTTTTAAGGGATTAAATGTGTAACATTTCACTCAAGTTTGGTTAGGTATCTCAAATGAATTATTAAATATTTTATCAAATTTCTTATATAGATGTAGGACTCACACAAATTATATGTGTATAAATCTCACATCCATATGAAAGGTTTAGTAAAATATTTGATAATTTATTTAGAATCTATGACGTTTTCCATTTCACTCCGATCACACCGATCGTTATGCAAGAAAGAATGGTACACCACTCTATTATACCCCTTACACAAAATACCACCTCGATAATTAAACTTAAAATAAAAAATAGGATTAATAAGACAAATGATCCCCAATGTAAGCGTTTCGTTATATTTTAGTCCTTAATTTTTTAATTTTTCACTTTGGTCCGTCAAGTATACGATCTATTACACTTTTGTCCCTAATAGCAACACCATTCAAAATTAATAATGGGAGGAGGGGTATTTTTAATTTTTTTTTTAAAATGTAACAAAATTATAAGATTGGGAAAGAAAATGCAAGTACAAAATTTAGAGACTAAAATGAAACAAATTTCACTTTTTAGAACCAAAATATTATAAACATGCATATTTTTTAGACCATGTATATATTTGATCATTTTAGAAAATACTCGTTCTCCTATTATTGATTTGGATCAGCACTGACATCAAGAATTAAAGTGTAACAGATCACATATTTTGGCAATCAAAGTGGAACAATTAAAACATTGAAGACTAAATGTAACAGAACGTATACTTTTGGGACCAAAGTGGTAGGGGTGTTCAAAAATCAGTGGAACCGGTGAACCGATTCAATCCGATCTAAACCGTTGATTTGGTCCTCTTTTTTTTTTTTTTTATTCTAGTTCCGGTTCCAAAAATAGTGGAACCGTTCGAAATGGTCCGGTTCGCGATTTTAAGACTTCGATTACGATTCTGAACCGAACTAAACCGCGATACTTTTATTTATTATTTTTTAATATTTTTATATATAAAAGAAGGGTGTAGAAGTAGTTAGCAAAATTTAAATGGTAAACTTGACTATGGAATTAATAAGTTTCAACCAACTCAACTATGTTAATTATTGTTAGTATTTTTATTATTATAAAATATATAATATATATTCCGTTATATTAATTTTTAGAACTGAACCGAACTAAATCGGTTTTTATGATTCGGTTTTAGTCCGGTTACATAACCTCAATAATCCGGCTATGATTTTAATTTTTTTGGAATCATAAGAACTGGTTCGGTTCTTAGTTATTCAAAAACTGGACCAATTCGATTTGTAAACACCCCTACAAAGTGGAACAATTAAGAGATTGAAGATTAAAATGTAACTGAACGTATGTAACACGTCCGCGAGGGACCCCGCTACAGTTCGGACTCGATTTGTGTCACGGTTCTAAATCTGAACTAAAGAGTCCAAATCCGGCAAATCGTTTTGAGAAACAGATTTTGAAAAGAAGTGC